AATGGCTGCAATATAACAAAGAGTGAAAAATTTAAGGGGGTCTGAATACTTTCCGTACCCACTGTATATATATATATATACGTATATCCAATGATCCAGTAAGCGTATGCATTCAAACAATCCGTCCAAAACAGCGCTAATATAAAGGAAACCAGAGATTACATTACATCAGAGATTGCAGAGAGAACAGAGACTCGCATTGCGTTTTAAGTGAATTATTCATTCCAGTCAGTGTTTCGCTTTTAAACACGAGCTCTGTCATATTCTGTGATTGTCTCTGAAGAGCGCGAGCCCTCACACGTCACGCGCTTGTGTGAAGTACAGTACAGACTGAACGGATTGTCAACATTTACTGTACAGGAGTCGTACAGTAAGTCCTGTTCGGACCTCATGAACTTGGCTTCTCTAAAATGTAAAAAGCTCTTTGCTGTTGCACTGTACACATACTATTCAAATCAGAAAGAATTTTTTTTCTTTTTTTTTTCTTTCATATGTGCTTATATGGGCTCCTTATATCATTTGGTTCTTTGGTGTTCTTTTGGAGTTTCTAAGTGTCCTTTTTTGGAAAGACATCTAAATGTATCTTGAAAAAAGCTTGCAGAAAATACAGATTTTTGAGAATCACCCTTCAATCTTTTGGTTTACTTTGTGGGATATAGCAAATGATGACAAAATAAACATTTGAATCAAGATAAATAGTCTATGCTTAATTTCATGAAGTGTGCGATTAATCACCGTTAATCACAGAAAAACGGATGCGATTAATCCGATATATATATATATAGTAGCAAATTTAATTAAATGTTTGTAAATTGAAAGCACTGTTTACCTCATCACTTTGATAAAAGAGTGTGAATGCACTGCGGTGTGTGGACTGTGTGCACATAACAGTTTAACTTTTTTAACACTTCCCATTATGTGTGTGGCAACGTTTATATATCAATCCCTCATTATCTGGTGTAAATGTTTTTTTTGTGTGTGTGTGTTACCTATATAAATAAAATTATGAAGCATGACAGATTAGAGATGCTTATCTGTTTAACGTGCTATTATAAGCTATCAATAACTTTCAAAAAGTGGTGAGGACTCAAGTTCAAACATAAAACAGTAATAGCACATCTTTTCTATCACGTGTGTCCACAGCACAAATTAATTTACAAATATTCTGATATCAGGAACAACACAATGCTACTGGAGTCTGTTTTTACCATATCAGAAAACACATCCTACATTACTGGAGCCTTTGAAAGTGAGATAAAGCATTGGAGGAATTCCACTGGCTGAGAGAGACAATTTTGGTTTAAAGAAACAAGCTGTAAGCAGGGGTGAGAGAGAAGCTTGACTCCATCAGGGTGACACTCATGCATTTGTGCACATTCATGGTATGGTTTTCTCTATATTTCTGTGTTTTTATTCTAATATTTATATTTTATTGTATTTCAATTTCAAAATGTTATATTATTGTATTTCAATTAACAAATTCAATTAAATGTATTCAAATTTTAAAAGCTGAAAAACACTGAAGGGAACAAAGCTGGAGAAAATTGTGTGGAGTAAAATGTGTAATGGGGTCACAGTAATGCTCACTGTGTGTTTATGTGACACATTTGTATTACAGCTTTTTGTGCTTCAACAGCCATGTCACTCAACACCTGGAGACAGATTCTCCAGATCAGCCAGACACAGGCTGCTAATTCAAGGAGGTGTCTAATGTCAAAGGCTAGATTTGTGTGTGTGTGTGTGTGTGTGTGTGTTCTCTCACAAGTTGCGGTGTGTCCTGCAGCAGCGGTAGGAGCGTGGCCTCCAGGATGGCAGTCTGCTCTGAGCCGAGCCCTTGCCACAGAGACAACAGCAGGATGAGGAGGTGAGTGGCGCTCCGCAAACGTGTAAAAGCTTGGATCAAACGCTCCCGGTTGTCTTCTGCTGCATCTGCTAATGCTATAACCTTACACCGAGACAGACAGACAGAAAGAGAGAGTTTCAAAATAAGTGTACAACTAACTGCACAGATGTCCTATCTTTACAAACTTCACAATTAAAGGGTTAGTTCACCCAAAAATAAAAATTAGCCCATAAATTACTCACTCTCAATGCATCCTAGGTGTATATGACTTTCTTCTTTCAGACGAATCCAGTCGGAGTTATATAAAAAACTGTCTTTGATCTTTCAAGCTGTTTAATGCCAGTCAGCGGGTGTTGCGTTGCTTCAGTCCAAAAGAAGTGAAATAAAAAACATCCATCCATAAAAAAAAGTGTCTCACACGGCTCCGGGGGCTGAACAAAGGCCTCCTGTAGCGAATCGATGCGTTTTTGTAAGAAAAATATCCATATTCAAA